TTCATTTAGTCTTAAAAGTGCTAAAATTATTTTAAACACTAAGTGAAGATAGGTTGGTCAAACCTATTTTTCTCCTAAGTGTTCAAAATCTTTCCTTGTCTAAAGGCTTTGTAAAGATATCTGCTAATTGATGCAAAGTATCAACAAATTCTAGAACTACATCTTCCTTAGTGACATGGTCTCTAATGAAGTGATGTCTTATTTCAATGTGCTTAGTTTCTAGAGTGTTGGATGGGATTTTTAGTAAGACAAATAGCACTAGTATTGTCACACTTGATAGGAATAATACCTACTTCAATTCCATAATCAAAAAGTTGTTGTTTCATTCATAAAACTTGTGCACAACAACTACCGGCTGAAATGTATTCCGCTTCAGTGGTAGATAATGCAACACAATTTTGTTTCTTTGAAAACTAAGAAATCAACATATTTACAAGAAATTGGCAAGTACCGGAGGTGCTTTTCCTATCTAATTTGCATCCTCCATAATCCGCATCAGAAAAGGCATGCAAGCTAAAGCTAGAGTCTCTGGGATACCAAAGTCCTAAACTATGAGTGCCCTTAAGGTATCTAAAGATTCTCTTAACAGCTAGTAAATGTGATTCTTTAGGGCATGATTGAAATCTAGCATATAAGCAAACACTAAACATAATGTCCGGTCTACTTACAGTTAGATAAAGTAAAGATCCAATCATTGACCTATATAATTTAAAATCTACACATTTACCTCCTTCATCTAAGTCAAGCTTTGTTGAAGAGCTCATTGGAGTGTCATGAGGCTTGCCATTTTCAAGTCCAAATTTCTTGAGCATATCTTTGACGTACTTAGCTTGATTGATGAAGATGCCATCTTTTCTTTGCTTGATTTGGAGTTCCAAGAAAAATGAGAGCCCCCCCATCATGCTCATTTCAAATTCGCTTTGCATTAGCTTAGAAAATTCTTGGCAAAGAACATTATTAGTAGAACCAAATATTATATCATCAACATAAATTTGAACTACTAATAAATCTTTTCCTTTATGCTTTAAAAACAATGTAGTGTCAACCTACCCTTTTAAAAAACCTTTTTCAATTAAAAAGTTTGACAATCTTTCATACCAAGCTCTAGGAGCTTGTTTTAAACCATAAAGTGCTTTTGTCAATTTAAGAACATGATCCAGAAATTTTGAATCTTCAAAACCTGGAGGTTGTTCCACATACACTTCTTCTTTTATAAAACCATTTAAAATGCACTTTTAACATCCATTTGATAAAATTTAAATTCATGAAAACATGCAAATGCTAATAACATTCTAATTGATTCCATCCTAGCTACGGGAGCATATGTTTCATCATAATCTATGCCCTCTTCTTGAGTATACCCTTGAGCAACAAGTCTAGCCTTGTTTCTCACTATATTACCACTCTCATCAAGCTTATTCCTAAATACCCATCTAGTACCTACAGTAAATTTATTACTAGGCCTTTCAACTAATGTCCATACTTTACTTCTCTCAAATTGATTTAACTCTTCTTGCATAGCCATAATCCAATGTTCATTATTTAATGTTTCTTTAATATTCTTAGGCTCTATGCATGAAATAAATGCAACATGATTACAAATATTTCTAAGAGAAGATCGAGTTGTTACCCCTTTGGATGAATCACCTATAATCTCACCATCCTTAACATAGTTGTACTCTATTGGATAAGATACTTCCCTTTCTTCAATGGTTGGATTCTCGAGAGGATCATGAGTTTCCTCATCTTTCGTTTCTTTCTTTGATAATGATTTTCCAACGTCATGTCTAACGTCATTTGTATTTATAATACCTACATCATCATTAACACAAGAATCCTTCCTCGGAAGGAGATTATCATCAAAAACAACATGTATAGACTCTTCTACAACTAAAGTTCTTTTATTAAATACTCGATAAGCTTTAGAATTTAAGGAATAACCCAGAAAAATTCCTTCATCACTTTTAGCATCAAATTTGCCAAGGTTTTCTTTACCGTTGTTTAAAACAAAACATTTACATACAAAAGGATGAAAATAGCTAATGTTAGGCTTTTTATTTTTAAAAATTTCATATGGAGTTTTCTTTAAAATTGGCCTAATCATTACTCGATTTACAACATAACAAGCGGTATTTGTGGCTTCCGCCCCAAAAATATTTTGGCAAATTATTTTCACAAAGCATGGTTCTAGCCATTTTTTCTAAAGTTCGATTTTTCCTCTCAACAACTCCATTTTGTTGAGGGGTTATAGGTGCTGAAAAATTATGACTAATACCATTAGAATTACGAAACTCATTAAATTCAAGATTTTCAAATTCAGTGCCATGATCACTTCTAACACTAGTGATAGAGTAACATTTTTCGTTTTGGATTACTTTTAAAAATGTGATGAAATTTTCTAATGCTTCATCTTTAGTACTTAAGAATAGAACCCAAGTATATCTAGAATAGTCATCTACCAAGACAAATGCATATTGTTTTTCACCCAAGCTAGTAGTCCTAGTTGGCCCAAAAAGATCTATATGGATCAATTATAATACTCTACTAGTTGACACATCATTAAAGGATTTAAAAGAAACTCGCTTTTGTTTTCCTTTAGCACAAGCATCACATATTTTATCATTATCAAATTTTAGTTTAGGCAGCCCTCGAACCAATTCTCCTTGAACTAACCATTGCAAAACACTCATACTACATGTCCTAGTCTCCTATGCCATAACCAACTATCATGCTCATCCTTAGCAACTAGGCACAAATTAGTCATATCAATAGAATCTAAATGCACCATGTATATGTTTCCTATTCTATGACCAACAAGCATAATCTGATTAGATGCAATGTCAATGACTTTACAACCATTAATTTCAAACATGACATTGAATCCCTTATCGCATAATTGACTAATACTCAATAGATTATGCTTTAATCCATTCACATATAACACATTTTTAATTTGTATGGAAGAGGTATTACCTATAGTACCAATACCTTCAATGTGACATTTTGAATTATCACCAAAAGTCATTTCTCCTCCATTTTTGGCGTTAAGCTCAATGAACCGATTTTTGTCACCGGTCATGTGTCTCGAGCATCCACTATCAAGGTACCATGAATTTGAATTTGTTTCCCGTGCCTTGTAGCAATGATCCTTTTCCTACAAACATAGATTAATTTTTTATTTTTGGTACCCAAATTCTTTTGGGTCCATATTCATTAGTTTCCAAAATCCTAGTCCCCTTAGGTATCCATTTGTGTAGGATATCTTTATCTTTAGTAGTAATAAGTTCTTTAGGAACCCACATACTTCTAACGATTTTTTCCATTAGAGGTTCTCTGGAGACCTCTATGATTGTAGTTTTTAAAACTTTTTCTAACAAAGTTGGATTTTGAATTTTCTTCTTTTTCAAAACGTTTTGTTCCAACTTTATCAAAAGAAGCTTTAAGATCATCAATTTTATTTTGATGATCATCATTGACCTTTGAAAGTAAATTTTGCAAATCCAATTTTTTCTTTTCAAACTCTTCTAGTTTGATTTGCAAATCTTTGATTTTACTTTCAAGATCGTTGTTGGTTTTGAATATGAGTTTATTTTCATTTTTCAATTTTGAAATATCATTTTTATGTTTTAAAAACTATTTCTCATAATCCGAAGCCAACCCATTATGTTCCTCTAATAGCTCATCATAAGATAAATCATCAAAATCAGATGAGTTAGAGGTTACCTTAGAATCTTCCCTGAATGCCATCAAGCACAAGTTTGCTACTTCTTGTTCCTCTTCATCGGAACCTTCTTCATCGCTCCATGTAGCCACATGAGCCTTGTGCTTATTCTTTGATTGAACCTTTCTCTTTAATTGTGGGCAATCATATTTGACATTCCCCGTCTTTTTGCATTTATAGCAAATGATCGGGTCCTTCTCTTTTGGTTCATTTTTGAGGCCTTCATTTCGTTTAAATTTTCTTCCTCGGTAAGGTCTCATCGTTTTTCTGAACCATTTGGCAAACAATTCCATTTCTTCGTCATCATCATCTTCATTCGAATCACTCTCATCTTTTGTGGATTTGAGAGAAACTCCAATGTTTTTCTTTCTCTCCTTCTCCTTTGGTGTCTCGTCAATCTTATCGAGGTCCACCTCATCTTCAAGCATCATTTCATGAGTGAGGAGGGAACCGATTAGTTCTTCAAAAGTTAAGGACGTTAGGTCCTTAGACTCGATGATTGTTGTCTTCTTTGATTGCCATGATTTTGGAAGGGAGTAAACTAACTTCCTCACAAGCTTTTCATTTGAAATGATCTCTCCATATGATTTGAGACCATTGACAATCGTTGAGAATCTATCCGTCATAGCTTTGATATCTTCATTTGGTTTCATCCTGAAATTTTCATAGCTATGCGTTAGAATACTAATTTTAGATTTCTTTACCTCATCGGTACCTTCATGAGTGACTTCAAGTTTGTCCCATATTTCTTTGGCGGTTGTACAAGATGAAACTCTTCCGTATTCATCTGGTCTAAGAGCACAAAATATGATATGGATGGCTTTGGAGTTGAGCTAAAACATTCTTGTCTCCCTTTCACTCCACAATCTTGGATGAGTGAGAGGCTTGATGTATCATTCTTCTACGACATTCCATGCTCCCATGTCACTTGCTTGAATGAAGTACATCATCCTATTTTTCCAATAGGCATAGTTAGCCCCATTGAAGAAAGGAGGCTTGTTGACGGGCATCGAATCGAGACCGGAGTCGAAGTTTGAAGTAGAGGCCATTGATGACTTTGATTATCGATGTAACTCTTCCCAAATCGACTCAAGAGGCGATTAAACCTTCAAATGAGTTAGGTTCTGATGCCAATTGTTGAGTTAATCGATTGACGGAATCGGCCAAGAGGGGGGTGAATTGATAATTAAAAATTTTGTGGAAGCTTTTGCAGAAAATTGAAAGTAATTGCACAACGATTTAGAGTGGTTCGACTTTCTCAATCAAAGTCTACGTCCACTACCTTAGCTATCCACACTAAGGATTTCCCAACAAATTCACTAATTTGTTTTTTCTTTTGAGGCCAAAGAGATAACCTTACAACACCCTCAAGAATATACCCCAATTCTTGAGAACACTATTTCCCAAAACGAAGATTACAAATTTACAAACTTACAAGAAAATCCTCACAAGGTAGATTGTTTTCACAATTCTAGAACAAAGAAAAGAACACTCAAGAATGAATAAAATTGAGCAAAATAAGTGTTCTAGAAAGCAAAATGAATATTGAATGAAAAATACGATTAAAATGCTCAAACTTGAGGTTTGATGCTTTCTCTTTGATTTTCTCTTGATTTTAGTTGCTTGATGTTTCTTGTTGTTGATCAATGGCTTCTAAGCTTGTTTAGATACACCTTGAATCACTTCTGAATGTTGGGGATCATTAATGAAGTTATTGGAGCAGTTTAAGTGTGAAAACAATTAATATTTCTGCTTGGAGCGTGGGGGAATCGGTACCCCCTCATGGGGAATCGGTCCCCTAAGTGTAAAATTCAAATATTTCGACCGTTGAACAGTGGGGGGAATCGATACCCTCTGGGGGGAATCGGTTCCCTCCGAGCATTCTGTTTTTCTCGGAGCAAAACCATTCAGGGGGGAATCGGTACCCCCTTGGGGGGGAATCGGTTCCCTCTGAGCAATCTGGAATTTTTGGCTTTGAAATGGTTTGAAATATTTTGTAAAATCGTTTTGAAATTATTTTAAGATTAAAACTTAATTTTACACTTGAGTAAGGATTTAAAATGAACTTTGAAATAATTTGAGTAATTTTTTGATATTCGATTTAATATATCGAATATGCTTAGAAAAACCTTTTTCAAAATTAAAATTCTTTTAATTTAATTTGTTATATCAAAAAATCAAAATGTTTTCAACATTATTTCCAGTTAAACACCATATACTAAATAATGTGCACTCACCTGGCCTCACTAGTCAATATTGATTTCTTATCTTTCCTCGATCGATCTTACTTGCCCAATGTTCCGGAACTTGTTTAGGCTCAATATCTACATAAACAAAATTTCCGAGACGATTATCAGAATCCTAAACCTTATAACTTGATGTTAATAAATTAAGCTAATTTAACAAACAAAAATTCACTTTTCCCTTTATGGGGTATCGATACCCTCCTTAGGGTATCGGTACCCTCATTGCATTATGTAATTTTTCGTTTGAGAGGGTATCGATACCTGTTGAATGGGTACCGATACCCCTAACCTAGAAATCAAATTTTAAGCACGAAAATCACCCAAACTTACTTAATTCTTCTTATATAACCTCATTTTAGCCCTTTAAACTTAACTACACTTCTTCTAACCAACTTATATCACTATCAGTCACCTTAATATTCAATATTCTACCTTGAATTTGAAAACCAAGAATATTACCAATTTCTCGATATGTTCTAAATTCGTTTCCAACACTTTGAATTTCTTATTTTGACTGATGACAAGTCAAATTTAACTTCCAACTTCAATTACTAACTCTTTTTAAATATTTCAATTTGAAACCACTTATCTTCAATCTCTCATAACTTGATAATCTTTGAGTTTTAAGACATCTTAAGCTATCCTTAATCTTTTCTATCACTCTAAAAATCAAAACCAACTTTAAAACGGAAGAATTAACCAGCTTGAAACCAACTTACCTTAGACATGAAGACACAGGAAGAGAAGAGAAGATAGCTCCACCATCTCCAGACTCTTTTTGTTATTTTCTTCTTTCCTCTCACTTTCCACGTGTTTAATACCCTATATAAAGGGAAATAAAAAACCTTACTTGTAAAATGACTATAATACCCTTATTACTTTCAAACTTTATTATTACATCTAACATCAAAATCTTTCAATTAAGTCCCTGAACTTTTAATCTTTTCTGATATTAATCACTAAATTTCCAAAACTTTTATTTTGATCACTGACTCGACTTTTGGGATGTTACATTTAAATCATTGGGTTCAATTCCCCTTATGTGCAAATATGTTCTTATTATTTTCACGCCTATCGGGGTGATCCAATCATGTATTGACACATGTCACTTCTTGATTGAATAATTAATTTATCGAATTAAATTAAAATTAGGATTAAATTGATAGAAAATATAAGTAGTAGGGACATAATGTGTAATTATAATAATTTTATTAACTGCCACGTTAGCACTTCCGTTAATTTTTTTTATTAATCCGGGGTAAGTACAAGGCAATATATTTTCAAAGATAACTCTTAACCATTTGACATTGAATGCTCACACATCTGACATTCATGGTGCTCAAACCCGAGACCTCAAGGAACAACAACAATTCCGTTAAATGTTAATTAAAGTAAAAATGGGTAAATAGTTAAGTGATCAATGATATAGTTTAGAGAAAATAACCTCAGTGACCGAAAATGCCTTATAATATACGATTTTAACCAACTTTTCTTGTATTTGCCAAAATGACCAACAAAATCGCAACGCGAACTCTAATTTTTCAACTCAGTTTCCAAATTCGCAACGCGAATATCCAGATTCACAAGGCGATTTTGAAAAATGTGTTGCGATAGTTAAAATGTGTTGCGAGAGTTTGAAAAACGTGTTGTTGTGATAGTGAAAAAGTGTTGCGATAGTGAAAAATCCAAAATAAGTTTACATTTTAACTATTTCAAATTCACGTGGAGTTTGAAACAATAAAGAATGTGTTGCGATAGTGTAAAAGATTCCCAAGCCATTTGTAAGATCTTAGTTTGAAACAATAAAGAATGTGTTACGACAGTGTAAAAGATTCCCAAGTGTTGGCAATGTTCAATCCTACATAGTATTGGAAACACTATTGGGAATGGATATTTAAGGCTTGGATTTCCCACTTCCTTGTTGAGTGGAAGAGAACAAGGGGGACTCTCGCGCACCGCCGCCGCCGTCCCGTCTCGTCTCGGGTCGTGGTCGTGGTCGTGGTAATACGTGTTTTCGACACGTCCGCGCGGATACTATCTTTTTAGAGAAAATTCTTAAGAAACAAATGCAATACCACCAGTCGTTGCGATTTTGGAAAATCGCAATGCGAACTTTGACTATCGCAACGAATTTGGAAAATCGCAACGCGAACTTCGACTATCGCAACGAATTTGAAAAATCGCAACGCGAACTTGGACTATCGCAAAATCGCATTGCGAATTTGGAAACTGAGTTGAAAAATTAGAGTTCGCGTTGTGATTTTGTTGGTCATTTTGGCAAATCCAAAAAAAATTGATTAAAATCGTATATTATAAGACATTTTCGGTCACTGAGGTTATTTTCTCTATAGTTTATCCTAGAAAATAATTAGGGTAAACTATGAATTTAGTCACTCAACTATTCTCCCAATTCCGTTTTGGTCACCCAATTATTACTTTTTCAAAATCATACATAACATTACGTTTTATACCCTCGTCGTAAAAAATAAAATAGAAATGAAAAATTAGACCAAAAAAACTTTTGCGACCTGAATTTCTTTTGATCAGACACAAAAAGTTTGTGGTATAACTTACTTGTTAAAGAAATAAAATAAAAAGGAAAAAGTAGGGATATGTGAATGTCAGAGATCATTGGTACATGACTATACTTCAACCAATAGACGTTGATTAAGAATAAAAAACATAGTTTGAGTTGATTTTTTACTACACAAATTATATTCCTCTTTTATTTATTTTCTTCAACATTAATGATTTTTCTCTTCTTTATCTGTGTTTTTTCCTATAATTTTAGTATCTACATTATTTTGCAATCGTTTATATTTATCATTATCGCTGTATGATGTTATACATAGTATTGCTACCCTGCACCTACTTCACAATTGATCAACAATGCCAAGACCTCAGTGCAAGGGGCGGAACCATAATAAAATTATGAGATTGGCTAAGTTACTTAAACAAAAAAAAATTGAGGTTTAATTTCATTAATTTCAAAATTGACACGTCTTAAAAAGTAATTAAACGAAAAGGTTAGAGGTAAGATTTAGTTTCATTTAACTTTAAACTAATAATATCTTAAAAATAATTAAACCAAAAAATTTTAGGAGGTCAACACTTAATTTTTATGATTTCAAAATTTTTAAAGGCTTAAAATACAATTAAATTATAATAGTTGGGGTGGGTTATATCTCCTTCAATCCGCACATGGTTCCGCCACTAACTCATTGTAAGTTACATTTTTTTAATTATATTAATTTGTATGTATTAGAATTTATTATTGAATACACGAATCAATTGATTTTAATGGTTAAGGAGTTCGTTATTTTTTCTAGAAGTTAGAGAATCGAGCACTGACAGAGGTATGAGCGTTTATTGTCAACTGGTTAAGAATCTTTGAACAAATACTACCTTATATTTATCCCTTATGTATATAAAATAAAAAATCTATCACTCAGTACTCTGAATTGAAAAACTAATTGGCTCAACCTAACTTAAACTAACTAGAGGTTCCACTTATTATTTAAACTGGGTGAGCCTCAAATCTTAGACTTTAAAGATAAAAAAGTATTTTTATTATTAAAAAATATATTTTTAATTACGTGGACTATTCGTTCCTTTCTATTAAAACCCGATTCGAGATTTTTCTTTTATTTTTGTAAGATGGTAGGGCTGCTCCCTTTTGCTTTTGTTTGTACCGGATTATGTTACTTTGTTTTACTCTTATTGAGTTGTTCTTTTAATTTTAATTTTGAATTATTATGTTATAAATAAAGTTGTAACTAATTTTGGTTATAAAATATACAAATTTTAATATATGTTGATAACTAAAAGAATTGAAGATTATTAGACTCAATCTTAAGATATACAAAATTGTTTTATATCAAAATGAACCCGATTTAAAAGAGTGGGCACCTAAATATATTTTATCTGAAAAAATAGAATTTTTTTATTACTTTGAAAGTGAAACAAATCATGAAGCTGAATTTCCAAGATCTGCATCCGTGCAGTTGAATTATAATGTAAAAAAAAAATATATTATGATATAGATAACGTGACTGGTCCTAATTTATATTCTACCTCATTTCTAGCGTGCATAATACTAATACTAATAATAATATAAATAAGTAATATAATTTTAATTTCAATTAAACATATGTCAGACAAGGGAGATAAAAGGGAAGAGATGATGTCTTCCTCTTCATCGTCATCGTCCCAAGGCAACGAAACATCACCATGCATATTGCCTAAGCTCCCTTTGTGCTTTTCATGTGGCCACGTTGATACTAACTATAATTGTTTTAATTAATTCAAATTTGTTACTGCAGTGCTGAGGTAACTCTTTAGCGGAATCAGAATCACAGCTCGAGAGAAATAAAGTATACTTTTTTTAAAGAAGTAAAGGGATAATTTGTAATTATTTTATAAATATTTAAACGATATATATTAAGTGTAATTTTTTTTTCTTTGCAGGATGGGGCTACAGCCCCCTCCAACTGTAATTAGATCCATCCCTGACTAGGTGGTGATTAGAGAAAACACTAAAACGGAAAAGTGAACGAAAAAGATAGAGAATTATTTATGTAATTTAGATTTACAGTATAATATTATTTAAAGAAAAAATATTATATTATTTTCAGTATAAGAGATATTAACCTTCTTGTAGGTATTCTCCCGTATAATATTATCTTAAATACTCTTTCTTAAATAATTCTCACTGATTACTTAATCTCATTGATCATACAATGAACAATACCCACAAAACGCACACTAATTTTTTTTGATAAACTTATTTTTGTGAGAATAAAGTTTATTTATTTTATATTTCATTGGTCGATTAATTTAAATCCGAGTTGAGTACTATATATATACTCATTGACCCATAAATGTAACTTATTTCATTCACATCAGTATTTGAACTTTAGAGTTGTTTAAATGACCTAACATCCCATCCTACAAGACTATTATATAATTAATTTATTTAAAATTTAATTACAAAATTCAAATAAATGGAGAGCTCTTATTAATTACTCCAACTTATCAAACTAACAATTAGATAAATTTAATTATCTTGGCTAATCATCCCAACCTAATCAAAACATCAAAGAAAACCAAGTCAAAGGAACAAAAAAGCCACATGGTTTATGTCAAAATTTTGGTATTTAAATATTTTAAATCTTAATCAAAATCATTGAATGTGAGAACAAGACAAATATATTAATACTTAGACTTGTTCGATAGCTGTAACAGTTGGAATGATGTTGTCATCTCGAATCTTACCTTGTCTAATTGTAATGTACAAGTTCTCACTCGTATATTTTATTGCATTATAATTAGATACAAACCAATGTGATTTCAGAGGTGGAAAATTTAGACCAATTTTTCTTTTAAATGATTGAGACCAATGCCATTGGCATGGAACATAGATGTTCCACGTGAAATAATCTTTTTTTTTTGGTTTCCTTTTAGATTTTAAGATTTTGTTTTGACTAATCTGGATTGACATATGTCACAGACCTGATTTTGGTGGATAAGTCTCATAGTAAAGATTTTCTAGATACACAAGATCTCAAACTCAAAACTTAATTAAACGATATCAAACTACTTACCACTTGAATCAACTTCGCAGGTGACGTGAAACTTATTTTAGTTGTTTCTTTTTTGACCGGACAAACAAACTTTGGTTCAATCATTGCTTTTAGAAAGATCTTTAGGTTTTCTTCAAAGTTATGCTTTATAGAAAAATATATTCTTACTTTTTTCCTTTTGTATTTTGTTTTTATGTATAATGACAAAAAATTTCGTGGTGAGAAGAAGATGCCTTTTGCGAGGAAAGATGAGGAAAATTATTTGAAATTAAATTTAAATTTTAATGTTAATTAAAATTTAATTATTATATTATATTACAAGAATTTTTTTAATCTTCGGTAAGATTTATAATTAATCTCAATTAACATGACTAGAAATAGCTCTAGTAAATATACATTTAAGTGTGAAAGATTTTGTAATTTTTATGTGAAAAAATATGTAAAGTTTAGTTGCTACAAGATTTAAGTTTTATTATGCCATTTTTAGCATTTGATTGAAAATAATTACTAAATTATGCTAAAATAAAATTAAGATTTTAATTAATATACCGTAATATGTACCTTATGAATTATATACAAAACTTCCTTAAGATTAATTAATGCGCAACTTATATTGTTTTTGTTATTATCGTATAATATTAGTACAATAATAATAATTTTTTAATATTTAAAGTTTAATTAAAAATATTTTTATGTCAATTTAGTAATATAATATACAACTTCCTGTTTGTACAACTCTTGATAACTTTCTTTGTATAAATATCCTTTCAAATTGAAGTTATCTATATATTTTTAATAGTTTAAAATAATTATATGATAGTATCTATTCAAAACTTTCTTAGCCAATCTATTCTCTAACCATATAATTTCACTACCCTTTATTTATATTTCTAAGCACGTTAAATATTTTTTTAGAGTTAATTGTATATATCATATGTCTATAACTATGACCTTTATTTTAAATTAATCTTTGAACTTTTGAATCTTCCAATTTCATCCCCAAATTCATCCAAATATATAATTAGTTTCAACCATAATTTAACCTAAATTTTTTTTTTTTCAAACATATAATAATATAGTTTGACCTAGTGGTTTTATTAGTGGGGTATGTAATTAACATATACTAATAGTTTGGGATGGATTTGAGATGTTGAGTAATTTAGAATAAGAGTCATAATTTAGGGATGAAATTAAAATATTTAAAAGTTTAAGATAATTTAGACTGAAAATTATAATTTAAAGATGAAATTGAAATATTCAAAATTTAAAAACTAATCTAAAATAAAAAATCATAATTTGAGTACATGTGATATCAATGACTGTTTTTTTTTATTTATTTATAAAAAGTTGTTTAAATTTTAGCATGTTTTCTGCTCATATTATAGTACAAACATAACCCAATAAAGCATTGGTATATTATCCAGCTGAAAATATTAGTGTAGCCCATAACTTTCGAAATTACTTAATTTTATTGCTGACTTGGCTCATTGGTACGTTGAATGTTATGCAACGTTTAACTCAAAAATTATATGATTATTTATACGTATTAAAGTTTTAGAAATTTATTGAGTGAGTTTAATAGTTAAAAAATATTATTGTTTTTAAAAGATTCAATTTCAAGTAATTACATATTACATATGCAGCCTAGTGAAATGCTGGTGTATGTAAGAACACTACTTCCAGTAAAAAATTACTTATAAGCCTACTGTTTAAAATCTCCCTTGTCCTGGAAACTCGAATGTATGCAAAAACAACTGCTAAAGAAACAATAGAAAGTCCAGCAACGATGACACCACCACCAGCCATAGACTTAATTGATGAACAGTGCTTTCCCAGGCGTCTGATTTCTGGTGCTTCACCGTCTCTGGGATGCTGAGATGACTCGTAAGGACTGTCAGCTGGCACGGGCACCACCCAAGCTGGCTCATCATTAACTGTCGTTTCGGATGTCAAAATAATTCTTTATTCTCAATCAATAAATTAAGGAAATGCGTAATAAAGAGAAGTAAGGGTCGATTCCACAGGGACTTAGAAAATTATAAATTTCTGTCTGAATTATTTATGCCAGGCGTGAAACAATAAAAATGGGGGGATTTTAGTAAAAGATAATAAATTGATTAAATAAAAGTAATTTAAGTAAAAATAAGAAGATGAAGATTATGAATAAATACGGTAAAAGTAGCCTCAAGCTTTGCTTTGATTCAATTTCCTTTAGATCATCGAATAAGATTTTCTCTTCGGGATTCACGTCGGTTACTTTGTCTACAAGGGCTATCCTTGTGACTCTATCTTGTATACCGAATACCCAAGGCAATCTTTGATTCCGGCTTCGGTAGTTGATTCTAACAACATCTATTGTCGTAGATCAAATACCGTTTAAGTTCGTGGCGACCGACTCGGATTGTTGTTTCTATAACCGTCAATTCCGATCTCAATTCTCTCTTGGCGAAGCTATCTCGCCAAGTGTGTTCCCAGGAAGTCGAATTGCTTTCTATAAGCCGAATCTTCCTCCCACACGTTTAATCGCAACAACTTCTTGGCCAAAGTCAATCTTCGATTTTGAAAACTGTTTTGATTTTGAAAAATAAGCGCAGAGATTGAGAGAGAGATTCCGAAGATATTAAGGAACCGTTTCAATTCTCCCGTTGGAATTGAATCATCGCGACAGCTCTCGGCTTATGAAAAGTTTAGCTAAGCATGACAAAAGTCATACTTAGCATAAAAATAAAACTTGAAAATAAAGAAAAATAAAAAGAACTTGAAAAGGAAAAGAGAAAACTTTTATAAAAACTAGAGAGAAAAGAAGAATGTATTCTGAATGATTCGTTTAGGCTTACCCCAAGTGGGTATTTATAGCCTCTCAAAGCCTAAAGGATAAACAAAGAAAATAATAAAATAATACAAAAGATAATTGTTTTTAAATTTAAATTCAAACTTAAACTAGTCTCCTAATGCAACTTTGCTCGTCAATCTTCCAGAATGCGTGCAGACGAAGTCTCCTAGAAACCGCCGCTGATTGGACCTTCTAGAAACTGCCATGTCATACCGCGTCGTGCCCAGAGTCGTGCCCATGTCTCCAGCCGTGACCAAATAATAAAAAAAATGCAGAATTCGCCCGTTTTATCACCAATTCTGGAAAGTAAGGAACTGCACGAAAATAAACATAACACAACCAAATCAGCAGCAATAACTTCATAAAATCGAAGAAATAACGTACAGATATTAACGATTCTGAACACTCATCAATCATCAACCTTAATCTCTGGTTGTTTCACCTCAGATGTATCAGCCATTGCATGTGCCACCAAAAAAACCAACCAAATCAAAACAAGCTTACCCATACAAGCAAATGTTGACTCTGGTGTCTTTGGAGTATTTTTTGAGAACCCCGAATTGTGTTCTATATATAGAGAGTTAAGAATTTGGTAATAAATGTTACATGAAATCCCCACCAAATTGCTAATAAATGTTACCACAGGAGAGGACTAAGTCCTAGTATTTATAGATACAGGAAACAGGAAGCAAACAATAACTCCGGTTGCTTGACTTTGAAATGGTACTACACAATCAGCCATTTGACCTGGCAAGACATGCCGTTTGACTTCTTTTATCGTTATTTTGTGGTTATTATCATATCGAGTTCAAATTAACACTCTATCTTCCTTATTTCATTTCTTCTTTGGACCGAGAATTTAGGTCCACGTTGAAACATGCAACTCTGGTTAATGCAACAAAGAGAGGCATCCCCTCTAAAACGAGTTTGTCCAAACAAACTCAGTCGGAATAATGTAACAAGGAGTGAGATTTCTTCAAAATAAACCCTTTTTTATCTCCTTGCAATTTATTAAAGGGAACAGTACGGACATGTGAAATGAGTCGAGCCCCGTTGGTGGTGTCCACAGTGATGAAGTGGGTGACGACAATTACTAAGCAATAATTGTGAGTTTGTGAAAAAGGTCGTTCTCGTGTATATATATATATATATATATATATATATATATATATATATATATATATGATTTGTTGATCTATTAACTTAAACGGAGACAATGGTAGATCTACTATTTATTTAGTGTCCAACCTAAAATATAAATTTTCTTCGATTATTTATTTATTTTATTGATTATGTTCTCCTTAAATTTTATTTGTGTATACTCTATATAAAAAAAACTTATGTTGTTAATATATATGTGTTCATCCTCATAAATATTTATATATCTACCATGGAATTAATAAATATGTACATTTATTTATATCTATATGATACGAAAATTTTATGTTATCAACTCTTAAAATTCTTTTTAAATCTGCCATGCTCTGAATAATGGTAAGCAAAATTCGACTCGACTCAACTTAAAAAGTCAATTTTTTCGATTTGACTCGACTCAACTCAACCTCCCGACCATAAACAAGTAGATTTAGGAGCACAACCTTTAGTTTGTTAATTGAACAAGAACATTTATGGGCTCAAACAAGCACCAAAGGTTTGGTTTGAAAAACTCAAAGAGTATCTAGTATATGTAGGGTTCAGTCCAACAAATCTGATGCATCTCTTTTTGTGAAGAAAACTTTCACATGTTTAGTTTATCTCCTGGTGTATGTAGGTGATATCGTCGTCATTGGAGATAAAACAATTGGAATTCAGGACGTAGTAACAAAAATGAAAAAAAAAAATCATCACCCTTAAAGATCTCGGAAAACTTAGATATTTCCTGGGTATTGAGGTTCATTATGGGCCTAATGGGGTATAAGTCAAAAGGAAATACATTCTTAACTTACTAAGGACATATGATTTTGATAATGCCAGAAGTTTTCTTATACCCATAATCACAAGCTACAAGTTGTCTCTCGATAATGGGAGTCCAGTTGAGAATGCTCCTGAGTTCAGAAGCATTGGTAGGGCACTTCAATATATTGTTATTACTCGGCTAAAAATAGCCTTTATTGTCAACAAGGTTTGTTAGTTTATGCAAACTTCGTGTGATACTCATTAGCTGTCAAATGTATCCTTGGATATTTACAAGGCACAGTTGGTTTGAAATTTTCTCCTCATCATTATTTTTTAACTATTACGAGTTTGTTGATGCTAATTGGGGGTGTGACTCGGATGACAGACGTTCTGCAACAAGTTATTGCATCTATTTATGTGGCAATCCTGTTTCTGTTGCTACGTCATTGATAATAACGAATGCAGTATTTGTGTTAGCAAATCCAGTTCTGCACTCACTTGACTATTCTAGCACAACAATACAGAACCATAATACTACTAAGTAAAGAGTTCTTTCCAAGTAGAAAAACGTGCAAAGTGGACAACTGTGTTGCCTTTAGTTGTCGCGTGTAGACACTCACTTTCGTCCGGATCTTTTTATATTAGATAGTATATATGAATATAATAATTTCAAATATATAATATATACAGTTTTTGAAAACGTATAATATATAGTTTTAAAAACGATTTTTGAAAACATATATAATATAGTTTTTGAAAACATGCTTTTAAAAAATATAGTATATAGTTTTTAAAAAAGGGTTTTTGAAAACATATATAATATAGTTTTTGAAAACATATTTTAAAAAACATATAGTATATAGTTTTTTAAAAAATAATTTTTGAAAACATATTATTTTGAAAACATATATATATACAGTTTTAAAAAACGGGTTTTGAAATTTTCTCCTCGTCATTATTTTTTAACTACTACGAGTTTGTTGATGCTAATCGGGGGTGTTACTCGGATGACAGACGTTCTGCAACAAGTTATTGCATCTATTTATGTGGCAATCCTGTTTCTTTTGCTACGTCTATGATAATAACGAATGCAGTATTTGTGTTAGCAAATCCAGTTCTGCACTCACCTGACTATTCTAGCACAACAATAGAGAATAACACTACTACATGAGCCATAATACTACTAAGCAAAGCATTCTTTCCAAGTAGAAAAACGTGCAAAGTGGATAACTGTGTCGTCTTTAATTGCCGCGCACATGGTGAATTCTGGATTTGGATAGACTGTTTTCAGAGCACTCACAGTTACAAGTCCAATGCGAAAAGGCAAATCCATGCAGAAAGTGAAATGCCAACAACTTGACCTATGCTGATGCATTTTGCAGAGACGAATATCAATTGATTGGAACCAATGAAGATTTAACGGGCAATGATTAATTTGATATACAAACTTAAATTTAGTTACAAAATCAATACAGTCCATAAAATTCAACAGATAAATATACACGTATTTAATGATTTAAATGAATAAAAATTTTAGTTAAATAAGGGTGGATAGTTTAAGGACTTTAAAAAAATAGTATAATATTTTATTATATATTAATAGCCACAATCAATACCACGTACGCACACCTAATTGTATGGTTTGTGTTGCAAGTTCTCCATGTTGTCCATAAACACAGTGTAACAGAAACCATATTTTAGATTAAAAAAAACCCAAAGGGAAACCTCAAGACATTAAAGTAAAAAACAGGAGATCCGACACCAAGAGAACTTAATGAACCCAAGCCAAGTTCCCAGTTTAACTGCGGAACAAAACAGGAGATCCGCCAGTTACAAACTCGACATGTGGGATTACGACCTTTTGCACTCCTTGTCTTGTGATCAGCAGGTCGAGCTATATGTTTATATTTTTCTTGTGCTGTGTTTTAGGCATTTATCAGTGACTATGAATATATATATATATGTGTTTGCAGGTTGAGGCTTATGAAGATAGGGCAAAGCAACTGGAGGAGCGGGTGAGAAGCACGATGAACGATGTCGATGAGATACAGTCGACGGAGATGAAATAAGGGCAGCCCTTGAGAGAATTGCATCATTGGAAGACGAAAGTAACGAGAGCTTACATGCCACTGCTCTCAGTTTCAGGCAGACAACATGGTTTTGAGGTTTCTCAAGGTACGTGCCATGTTGATCAATAACAAGTTATAATTCAATTTGATACATGCCAACACATACTATATATTAATTTTTGCTCTGAACTTTTCTCTCAATTGTCTTGTTTTTTACATCTATTACACACTAATCCCATATGTTATATTATATAGTGTGCATAAACCGACTAACTAGAATCTTTTAGCTTCTACCCATCTTCCATGATTTTCTTTTAATTTTGCCGCCACATCACAGTATTCAATAAATGTTATATTCGTACTCATCATCGAGTGATTTTAGTGGTTAAAGAAAATATTATTCTTTATTAAGGTTTTAGTTTCAAACAATTGTATTTACATAATGCATTATTAATAAACAAAAATATTATTAATATATATTAACTTAAAACCACCTCATATTATTCAAAAAAAATGTCTAAAAGCTTTATCACTTCTGTTCTGCCATTATCCTTTATTAATTGTTAAGCATTTCAATATTTTTCTTCCAATAATACCACTATTCTCTTCATGAATCTTCCAAGTATGCTGCTATGATCTAGAATTTTCTAATTGCTGTCTTGAGGCTTCAAGTTAATGTCAATACACCACCTTTATTTAGTTTTTAAGATATTTTTACACTAATTGATTGTCAACTTAAAATGTAAAGTTAGGTTTCATTTTTTTTACCATCCTAGCATCCCGAAAACAACATGCCAGCTCTCTAGTATGCAAGATGACCTTACAAAAGAATATAAAGCTGAGCATGTTAAACTATTTGCAGACATCCGTCGAGATCTATCCCTCTAAATATTCAGAATGCAACAAACTTCTGATTGGTAGTCCCTCACTCTACAAAACATGTTTTCAATACTTCACCTCTACTACCACCAAACTTTGAAGATTGATTGACAAAGCATACCATCTTTTACTAAACAATCTATCAATGTGCTGTTTTGTCTACGAACATAGTTGAATTGTACCTATCTTATTCTTTTAAATCCAACCATCGTCGAACACTTTCATTTCACCCAACTCCAATTCTTCATGTTTCCGCAGCACCCAACTACGATTAGCATCGACTAACCTCTTTAATTTACCCCTTCTGATGGGTCATAAAGCCTCA